TGCGGGGGGGGGCCTCCGCGCATGCGCGATCCCCGCTAATCCGGCCTATCGGGTGGGTGGCCCGCCTGGGCGCCGGAAGAAGGGCAGCGGCTTCCGCTCCGGGTGACGTCACGGGCGCCCTTCCCCAGGCTTTGCAGCCACGGCCGGGGCGAGGCGGTGGTTAGAGTCCGCCCGGCTCCCGAGAAGGATGATGGTGGGAGGAATAGTTGGAGGAGCCGCTGCTCGGCTGCAAGGAGGCCGGGAACCAGGGGGCCGAGCAGGGCCCTTGCACCCCTGACGCGGATCCTTCTGGCCACCCCCACCATCACCCCCGCCAGCCCGTGGACGAGTCGCCCTTTCTGAGCGGGGCGCCTGCGGAACGGCCGGCGCTGCACGGAGGGCGCCCAGGGGGGGTGGGAGCGAAGGCCTTGGTGCAGCCACACACACACACACACACACCCGGGGCACTCCCGGCGGAGCCTTTCCAGGCGATGCTCCGGCCCCCTGACCGAGCCGACTGTGATCCGCGCAAGCTCGTGTTGCAATCATCTCCGCAACGGATGATCTTCCGGGTGCTGCTTGACCCCTTGGCGGCGCGCTCCCTTCCTCAGTCCAAACCTCTTGTGTTTGGTGACTCCTGTCGGACTGATCCGGCTCCGCCAACAGGACCGGCTGTTTTGCAGCCCATGCCCCGAGTCCTGGGGGAGTCCTCATTTCCCCCCTCCTCCTCCTCCCCCCCCCAAGTATATCTTCCAAGACATCTGGGAGGTCCCCGCACAGAACCTCCAACAGCCATGCGGGGTTCGGGGCTCGGCCTCCTCCTGGCGGCTTCCTGTGAAACTTTGGGTTTTGTGCTAGGAAGAGAGGCCGGAGGGAGCCCAAACAACAAAGTCCAGCTTGAAACCCAAGAGCAACTCCACTCGGCCATGGCCCCGGAGCCGATGATGCCCTCGGGGATCACTCCTGTCCTGTGCCCACCATTGGTCCCTAGAGAGAAGGAGGGGGGGTCTTCGGGGGGGGCCTCCTCCTGTGCCCCTCAAGGACTTCTTGGGTGGAGATCTGATCATCTTGGAGTTTGGGGGGGGAGGAAGGGGGATGGCGCCCGTGTGGCCAGCTCATCCTCCCCAAAGTAAAACTCCTCATTTCCATTATTATTTGGGCAAGAGAACGACTGGTGGACTTTAGACTTCAGTAAGCTAAACTATGTGTGTGTTTAGTCGTTTAGTCGTGTCCGACTCTTCGTGACCGCATGGACCAGAGCACGCCAGGCCCTCCTGTCTTCTACTGCCTCCCGGAAAGCTAAACTATAACCGAGAATAACATCTACTTGCAAAACTCACCAGGCAACATAAGAATCTGAAAACTAATTCGGCATGATTGGCTCTTGGTTATCTGGTGTTTGTCTCTCCCACCTTTAGGATAAGGATGGCTCAGTCTCTAGGTGACCTTCCTCTTCCTCTTGATTGAACCGGCTTGTCCACCTGAGGTGCTTTCCGCTCATCACCTGGGGCTGCACTAAAGCTAGCTGGGCTGGGGGGGGGGCACGAGATCTGCACTAAAACCATCCTTGCTGCTTTACTAGGTCCCTGGACGTGTCCGTGAAGGATGGCATTCAATTCCCCATTGTTCAGAGGCAGCCAGGTCTGTTATGAGAACATGGACTTTAATGGATGCTTGTGAAGTGCTTTGGGCCCTTTCAAAGGACCACCAGATCCCAGCTCACCTGGCCCTTGGTTCTGCACAAGCCCACAAGCTGCCTAGGAAAGCACACTTCCCTCAGGAAACCTCGTTGCCAGTTTTTTTTTCACCAGGAGTAAACTTTCCATTGCGGCTCTGATGATACCTGCCCCGCACCCACCCTAAATAAAGTTGAGCGCTTATGAACATTCCTCAACATCATGACAATTCAGCCAAGAGTGTGTGATCAAGGAGCTGCTCCCATAAAAGTAGGGGGCCAGTAGCCTTGAGTCTACTTGTAAAAGTAAAAAACTAAGAATAAAGGGAGGGAGGGAGAGAAGGCACACGTAACTAAGTGCTTTGGGGGGAAGGCCTTTTCTTTCTTTCTTTCTTTCTTTCTTTCTTTCTTTCTTTCTTTCTTTCTTTCCTTGCTTTCTGCACCCTCACCCATCCCAGACATTCAGCCAAGGGCACCCCATTCCCCTCTTCAAAGACTCACTTCCTAATCTAAGTGAGACCTGGTCGCACCCACCCACCCACCCCCAGTTCCCTCTTCAAAGAGACAGAGTCGCTTTTGTGCACTGCTGAGTGGCTCTTTATTTCAACAAAATGTTGGTGCACAAGTTGTGTGCACAACACTGAGTCCAGAAGTGATTAAAAGACAAAGGCAGTATGCTGTCCCATCATACATGCTGCCACCGCCCCTCCCACCTGTGGCATTTGAGACTCTACACCTCCCCAGTTTTATGCTGAGCAGCCACAACGTGGATCTTGCTATGTGGGGGGGGGGGGCTTGTATCCTCTTCATGCCCTGGGAAGGCCAGGAAGACATACAGCCCATGAAATACTGGAGACGGGGCATCAGAAGGGAGAGATTATGTTAGGAGCGGTGTGCAGAGGAAAGGTTAGCTGCCAGTCCCTGTTCCGGTTTTCTGCCTCTCAGTTGCCCATCTTCTTGAGGGTATCAAAGAAGGAGGCGAACCGGTCCCTCACATCCTTCTCCAGGAAGCTCAGGTGGTCTTGGGCCTCCCCCGCGTAGGGCTGCAGCTTCTGCCTCATCTCCTCCACCTTCTGCACCACGAGCTTGTTGAAGTCCTCTCCGTAGGGCTCCATGGTCTGGCGGAACTCCTGGATCTGCTGCTCCATCTTCCCGCTCAGGCCCTCGAGGTAAGGGGCCACCGACTCGCGCAGCTTGGCCGGGTCCTGTTGCAGCTTCTCCCTCAGCTCCTGGGCCAAGGGGCTCAGCTTCAGCCGCAGGTTCTCGGACCCCTCCGAGAGTTTGGCTCGCAGCTCCTCGGCGCTCTTCTGGATTTGGAAGGAGAGCCCCTCCAGCTGGTGGTTCAGCTGATCCTGCGCGTCCTGGGCCAAGGGCAAAAGGCTCTTGCGCAGGCTGTCCACCGTCTGGTCGGCTTTGGCCTTGAGCTCCCCAGCGTAGGGGGCCAGCTTCCCCGTGAGGTCCTCCATCTGCTGGTTGATCTGCTGCTGCAGCTCATCCGCGTAAGGGGCCAGAACGGTCTGGAGGTTGCCCACGTCCTCCCGCAACGTGGCCTGCATTTTCTGGGTGAGCCGCTCCAGCTCCTGGCGCAGCTCTGCAGCATTCCCGTTCACCTGGGTTTGCAGTTCCTTGGCGTAAGGGGCCAGCCTGGCCTGCAGTTCCTGGATGCTCTGGCTTATTTGCTGCTGGGCCTCTTCGGCGTGAGGGGCGATCCGGGCACGGAGCTGCTCCAGCTCCTGACGGAGTTGCTCCTTCAGCTTCTCGGAGTCTTCGGCCAGCCGGGCATGGAGTTCGGTGGCAAATGGGACCAGCTGCCTCTGCAGATCGGCTGCGTAGGTGCTGATGGCCTGGAAGTTATCCTGGAAGAGGGTGCTGTGGTCGGGAGAGTGAGCCACAGAGGAGTCAGTGCGTGCCTTTTCCAGAAGTTGGGAGGAAGTACCATCTTTTTCCTCTCGCTCATTCATGAGAGACCCAAGTCTCAGGATGTAGCTTTATAGTTTATGCATCATGAGACTTGGGTCTCTCTTTCATAACTGGATCTACTGGATGTGACCAGTCCTTTCTGGGGGTTTCTCCACTTACTCAATGCAACAAAGTAGCCAGTTGTTACATTTTACTTTGTTTAGAAAGTAGCTCAGTGCTACTTTTTTCTAGTTCTTTGTTGTTTCATTCGTTTGCAGCATTTTATTGTATCGCATTTTTTTGAAATATACGATTGATGAGTCCATGGCATAAAAATGTATGTCAGGCTCCCTCAGAGGTGTGCAGATGGGTGTTTTGGACTACAGCACCCAGCATCCCCCACATGCCACTCTGCCCACCAAATAAAAACATATTTCAATGCCCTTCAAAAGTAATCTTACTCATCACACCAGTCAAGCTGGTTTTGAAATGTAACTTTGTTGCATTCTCATTACCCCCAGAATAACTGTCATTTGTAACTAGTTACTTCCAAGCTCAGTTTTGGTTTCCGAAAACATAACCAGGGACTGGTCAGGGAATCATGGAGCCCAGGGAAGCACTAGGCCCCCCCCCACTGACCGCAGCCTCCCCTTTGGTGCCGCCCAAGCCGCTTGTCAGGAAGAAGGCCGGCAGCACCGGCTTCCCCATCTAGCCCAGCCGTGCTCAGAGAAAACCCACCAGCAGCGCTCAGAGAAGTTCCCTTTGACGATCTCAGGATCCTGCCTGGGGAATTCTCCTGGGAATGGCAGGAGTCCACATTCTCTCTGGGACGCATCCTGCAAGCCTAGGGAAGGAGGGGCACCTCACCTGAGCTGCTTGCTGATCTCTGACTGCTGGAGCTGATCCACCGACTCCTTGGTGCTGGCGCTCAGCTGGGTGAAATACTTCCAGACCACGTCAGCCGCCTGGTCGGCCGTGACGTCCGCCTGGGCCCCTGGGTGGGTGGGCAGAGATGAAGAAACACATCAGGGCCTCTGATCGCCAGAACCCAAAACTCCAGCACAGCACCTGTGACCTTCCCCTGGCCAGGTGCAAGGGAAGGAGGTCAACAGGGGGGCTGCCCCGCCACCCCACCCTCCCGATGTAACATCAGCATAAGAGGGTGGGAGGCCAGGCTTTGGATGATAGCGCAGAGCCCACCTGTCAGCCCCAGCGCCCAGGCTGGCCTCCCTCCCTTTGGGATCCCGGCGAGAGCCCCTTTTTGCTCCCTCTCTCTAAAGCCCTGCCTCCTCGTTACTTTCCTGGCTAAATCACGACCTTCTCTCGGGGTTTGGGTGAGGGGGACCCTTTGTGGAGAGATACAAAACTGTCAGCAAATTAGCAATGCTGTAAATATTCCTTTCAGCACAAAGAAATAACCGTTGTGAAACGCCACCTTGGATGAGACCTGCCTAGAGCAAGGGCTCGGTCGTTTGGACCGAAGGCCAAAAAAGAAAATTAAAAAATTGTCTGATGATCCTGTGTTGGCAAGATATTCAGAAGACACGGTAGAGCTTTTTCTATCCTTTGTCTCTTAACTGCTCTCTTTTGCTAAAAGGGAAAGATGGGAAACACAGGCGGGCTTTTCCGTTACCTGCGATGGCAGCCAAGAGGCCAAGGATCAAGGCGACTGCTTTCTGAGGCATGATCTGTCACGAGGCTTTCTTTCTGCCTGTTGCTGAAGGAACAATCCTACAAAAGAGGAGAAGTTGCTTAAGAGCAGGGTGGGGGGGGGCTATTGCGTTGCAAGGCTTACCTTTCTGAAAGCAAAGCTGTCTGCTCTCTTGCCTCTCTCTCCCCACCTGCCCCTGCCCCCCCGCCAGGTTCCCCCCACCGACCACCCAAACGTGGAGACTTTGGCTTCGAGCAAATCTGTGGGCATTTTTGAAGCCCTCGTGGGACTTAGCCTCCGATCTAAGCTACGAAGGAAAAGCCGGGTGGTGGTGGCAGGAGGGGGGCTTTTGCAGGCCCACCGGGAGCCCTCCCCCAAAGCACACTGTCCCGGAGGGGCTTCGCTCTGTCAAAGCCAAGGGTTAAGGTGGGGTGCAGGATCTGTGGGGGCAAAGAGGCAGTGGTCTGTTCTCTCCAAGGCCATGTCACCTCCCTGGGCAAAAAGCGGCTGGAGGGGGGTGTCCTTTTCTGTGCTGCAGCTCCCAAAATTGCCCTGTCAGGCAGCATGGCTGAGGATTCTGGGAGGTGTAGTCCCCCAAAGGGACTTTTTCAGACACTGAGCACAAAGCCTGTCCCGACCTGACTCTCTGCTCCCCCCGCCTGGCCCAGCTCCTCTGTCCACCCCACCCCCCCAGCAGCAGAGCAGGTGTGTACAAAGAAGCCCAGCTCCTGGCAGCCCACTCACCTCCTCTGGGTCTCCTCTGGGCCTCTGCCTGTCCTGCCGGCTTCATCCCTCCCCCTTTATACCCCTGGGGAAGGCGGGAAGGCTTCGCTCTCTCACCAGGGCTTCCACGCAGGCAGGCAGGCAGGCAGGCAGGCAGGTGGGTGACGCATCCTCAGCATCACCTGGACTTTAGCAAGATTCCAACGTGGAAGCCAAGTGGCCGCAGCAATAGCCAGACCGTCTCGTTATCTTCTGGGTGTGTGATTGAGCTTTCACAGCGGCTTGGAGGCGGGAGGAGGAGGAAGCAACCCCTGCTCCCCTCCAGCCTCTGCCAGGGAGGCAAAGCAGAGATAGGAAAGCCTCCATGAGGACTAGGAACTGGAATTCTGTCCGTGGAAGGGGGCCAGGTGGAGGGAAGCCGGCCTTGTGAAGACTCTTTTAGATGGGTTTTGACGGGCCATGAGCTGCGCCGGGACCTTCCATGGTCTGGCTGGGACTCTGCAAAAGCCCAGCAAGTCTCAGCGAGAGCCTGATGGCCACTGGGAGTTGTAGTCCCCAAAGTGACTTTCCACCTCTAATCTCAGTCCAGGGTCTGCCCGGCTGGCAAGGGGGGGCAGGGAACTGTGGCGCAACCTGCAGGCCCTCTCCCCTCTCCCAGCCCCCCCCTCAGGTTTAACCCAATGAACCCTCCAAGACCAGGACCCCACACACACACACACACACACACCCCTGGCATTTTGGGCACTACCTGGCATTATCCTGCTCCTGTCTGGGAAGTAGCCAAGCCAGGCGCAGCCCCCTCCCAGCCCTGGTGGATTGTTTCCTCTCCAGGTGGGAGAGCTTAAAGCAGCCAGCCAGCCAGAGGGCCAGCAGGAGGCAGCCAGTGTAGGGCTGTGGGCGAGGCCTGGAGGGCACCCTGAAGAGGAGATGCTGGGGCACAGGCCTCCTCCAGGAGGGGTCCTCCACCGGAGGGGCTCAGCCCAGGCCCTGGCGGCTCGAGAGACTGGAAAAGGTGGTCGTATTGACCAGATAGGTGGGGTACAAATAGAATGAATGAATGAATGAATGAATGAACGAATGAATGAATGAATGAATGAAGGAAGGAAGGAAGGAAGGAAGGAAAGAAAGAAAGAAAGAAAGAAAGAAAGAAAGAAAGAAAGAAAGAAAGAAAGAAAGAAAGAAAGAAAGAAAGAACGAACCTGGAGCCGGAGGGCCTGGGTCACCACCCGCACGGCCCATCATCCACAGCCCCTGGATAACAGAGCCCAGCACCTGGCAGCCCCCCCCCCCTGACAGGCTGAGCCCCCTTCATCCACACACACACACACACACACACAGACACCGCTCTTCCTTCAGCCTTTTGCTCCAGCTACACGTTTGGGAGGCCAAGCCTGGGGCAATTGACCTTGGACAGCCCCCCTCCTTGGCCCTTTGCTGGCTGGGGGAAGGGGAGAGGAGGGGGCAGAGTCTTCTACAGAGAGCCCCCCAGGAGAGCTTCCGGCGGGTGTGTGTGTGTCAAGCCCCTCACTGTCATCTGAGCCAGAAAGCGCTCCTGAGGGGGTTTCCCACACAATCATCAAGGGGTATCTTTTAGGGCAATGTCCCTGCCAGCGATCCGCTCTGTGGCAGCTGAAGGAACACCACCCTGGACTCTGTCCCTGAGCACGTGCAGAGTGCCTTTCCCTGTCCACAAAGTAAAAACAGCCAATGCGCGGATTGGGCTTGGATCCGAGGGGCCAGGCGTCCAGGCTCCTCCCTCGGTTTGGAAACAACCCCTGTTTGCTGGGATGCTCCCCCCCATCTCACCCCCACCTTCCTGTCTGGCCCGGTTATCTGCAGTCCACAGTCCAAGGTGATGTGGATGGGATGCGCAGGAGGGAAGGAAGGGCAGAGCTCAGCCGGCGAGGGCAACGGGTCCGAGGGTTCAAAGGGGAGTCCCGTCCTTCCTCCTTCTGCATCAGGAGAAGCATGGGGGGGCGGGGGGTTGCGGAGGGGGCAAGGGGAGGCCTTGTGACTGAGCACATTGGTCCCTCGCTACCCTTCTGGCTGGGATCTCCCAGACTCACAGAGGATGTTCGGTGGTCTGGAACAGAATTTTGGAAGGGGACAAACAGTGACCCACTTCATTCCCTGGTGGAGCTGCCCCCCCCGGAACACCCCGGTTCCAAGCAAGCGACCCGTCCCACCAGTCCCGCCTGGCTGGCGGCCGCCCAGGAGCATCACAAGCTGGAATCAGCAAGATGTTCTTGTCACTGCGAAGCTGAGCTCGGATCAGCCTTTCTATGTTTGCGTCCTTTTCAGTTGTTGCTTTTTTTTTTCTTGGTCCCATCACCTTCACAGTTGTATTTGGTGGGGACTCGGGAGAGGGCCTCCTCTGTGGCTGCTCCTTTGGAACTCCCTGCCACTGGAGGCCAGCCTGGCCCGCTCTTGGCTGTCCTTCCACAAGCAGACAAAGACCTTTCTCTTCAGGCAGGCTTCCCCTTAATGGCTGACAGCTTGAGAGGTTTTTTAAAATGGATTGTTGTGTCTTGTTGCTTTTAAATGTGTTTTTAGTATGATTTACTGTTTTTAATATATTTGTTTACATAATTCTTTTAAAACATTTGAGTGCTTAATGTTTTCAGTTTTAAATCTTAAGGAGAAAGGTGGGGTAAAACTATTTTGAAATCAGTCTGTCAATCATCAGTCCATCAAACCATCTTTCCATGGAAAGTTCTGGGGGGATCTTTTGAGTCCCTCAGCCATGAACCACAAGACCTTATCACGACCCAAAGGTCTCTTGACTGCACTGAAGCCACATGCAAATGACTGTTGGTTTTGTCTGATGTCCTTAACGTGCCCCCCATTTAAATTCAATAAATTCAATAAATGAAGTTAATTAATGTGGCTTATTTAGTGACTTAACTGTTAAAAGAGAGAATACAAGAAGGAAAGGGCCAATGTTTAGATGTACGCTTGAGGCCAAACACCCTGAGAAGATGAGACGGCATGCCAAGTAAATGCGGCAAGGGCTGGGGAACGCCAGGCGGGTCGGTGTCCATACAGGCCAAGAGGCAACCTTGGCCCCGGATGGCAGCGAATGGGCACTGACCTGGCAGGATGTGTGTGTGTGTGCGTGTGTGTGTGTGTGTGTGTGTGTGTTTGTTTGTGTGTGTGTGTGTCTGTGGCTGGTGTCCGATGTCACTCAATGTCCAGCCCAAGCGTCCAGTGAGCGAAGGGGGGGCCACTGAGTGGGATAGGAGCAACAGGGACTCCAGCCCCCACCCACCCCGTTTGGGTCCCCTGGCCGAACTTTGGCCAAACAGCCCCAACAGCCTCGAGGGGGGGGGAATATAAAGGAGACTCTGCCCTGGAAGGATCCAGGCAGAGGTGCCTGGCCAGCTGAAAGAGCAGGTAAGGGTGGGGCAGGAAAGCCACGGAAAGCGGGGAGGGGGGCAGGGACCTACCCCAAGGCAAGGAGCCCCCTGGTCCAGCATGCTCTGGGGAGGGCTCCTAAAATCCTCTCTGCCTGCAGGTGTGGCACAGACCCTTTCCAAAAGGGATTCCCCACCCACTTGCCCACAAGACAGTTTGGCCCCGCGGTCGGGCTCCAGGTCAGCCCGGTGGGGGCGGGCAGCTCAGGGACCCCCCCTCCCCCAAGGTGGCGGTTGGGTCCAGCACCCTCCTGAGGACCAGAACAGCTGGATCCCCCTCTAGACCAGGGGTCCCGCCGCCCTCCCGCCCTAGCCCGGCTGGGCCTCCCTCCCTCCCTCGTCTGAGCCTGCAGGACAGAGGCTCCCACCTCTGCCGGGAAACAGGGTTTAGAGATGATCCGGCAGTTCCCGGCGACGCGGCCTGTTTGGGCCACCAAACCCCAAGCGCAGGACGTGGGGAAGGTGTAAAGGTGGTGGCCTTCTTTGTAGGGAGGATGCAGCTGGGTTGCGGGACTGCCCCCACCCGGGGCTGGGTGGGGGCCCGCTTGGGAAGGGTGCTTCATCTCCAAGGAGAGGGCTCCCCTTCCGTGGCCCGTGACCTCTCTTTCCTCCTCCTCCTCTTCCGGCACAGGTCCAGCCGCGTGACATGATGAGGGCCCCGTTGCTGCCGCTGTTTGTCCTCCTGGCCCTCTTTGCCACCCTGGCATGTAAGAAGAGAGCCACGTCTGCCCGGGAAGGGGCAAAGGGCACCCCCCAAGGGGCTAGAGAGTTCTGTGGCCAGCATGAGATAGGAGGGGGTGGAGGAGGACCCTTGGGGGGGTCACCCCTTGAGCCGACGCCTGGGTAGCCATGGGCTGCTCCCCGGTTACTCAAGGACAGGATCGGGGATGGAGGGGACCCTCTGCCCCTTGGCAGAAACTCTGGCCGGGCACCTGGAACTGCGGGGGGAGGAGATGGGGAGGGGCAGTTGGCCAGGCTGTTTTCTTTGTGAGTGCCCCCCACTGGCCTGGTTGTGTAAAGGGGGGGGTTTAAGATTTTCCCAGAAGTCATGCTCCCCCCCCCAACGCTTGGGAAGCCCAGAATGGGATTTGCAAAAGAGGCCCCCACGTGAGCCTGTTCCAGCTCCTCGAAAACAACCCCTCCAAGAAATAAAAATGTATAAAGAAGGGGGTGGGTGGGGGCAGCAGCACCTCCTTTGTGGGAGACACTCCACATTGTTCCCCCCCCCGCNCGCCGCCGTCTGCATCTCCTCTCTGCTTGGCAGGGGCCGAGGAGACCCAGGAAGAAAACCTGATCGCCAAGATGCGGCTCTTCACCCAGGAAGCCTCACAAAGGGCGCAGGAACACCTGGCCACCCTCCAGGAGTCCGAGGTGGCCCAAAAGGCCAGGTGGGAGCAGCTGCACCAAGAGCTCGGAGCTGGGGAGGGCGGGAATCGAGGGAAGGCGCGTGGCAGGGCTGTCCTCTGTCCCCTGCCTTCCCACCCCCCCAGCCCAGAAAGGCCCACTTCCTAAAGGGGAAAAACCCAGCCCCCTCCCTCCCTCTACGCCTTCCTTCCAGCCCGGGGGAGCTTCTCCCCAGACCCCTCCCCCCGTCGGGGATCTCCGGGCAGGGAGAGAGGGGAGCCCACTGCCCTGGAAGGCACCTGCCCAGCAGATAGGCAGGGCTGTCTTCCTTTTTTGGGGAGGGGGGAGCGACTGGAATGCACAGGTACAAAACTCCTTGGAGGCGGGGGCTGGCTTGTCACGGGCTGCATCCCACCCGAGTTCCTAAATGAGATCGGAAGAGGATGCGTTCGACCGAAGCTGATCTTCCTCTCCTTCTTCTCCTACCCGTCCCTGTTTCCCCCCCTCCGCACCCAAAATCTGGCTTCTTCCAGGGAGTGGTTGGACTCTGGCATCACCTGGAGCAAAGAGTACTTGACTGAGCTGAGGGAGAGGTTCTCCAGCTTGTGGGAGACAAAGGCGTGATCCACTCCGGCTGCCCAGTTCCAGGCAAACCTCCGCCAGCCAAGCGAAGCTGCTGGGGGGCTGGCCGTGGGTCTCAGCATCTGCCCCTCTTCCTCCTCCTCCTCCCAACCCCGTAACTCCCCCAAACCCCACCAAGGCCTCTCTCTTAGGAGCATCCAATTTCCACCCATTAAACCTCACAGACTCTTTGCACGTTTCAAGTCTCTTGCTGTCAAGGAGCCCAGCTGGCCGGGGGAGGCCTGGCCAGAGCCCCCCCCATCCCCAGAGGCTGGATCTGGCCCAGGGGCCCTCCCCAGCCTCCTCCATGGATCTCCAGCCATTGCCTCCACCAGACAAGACAGAAGGAACGACGAGGCTAGCCTTCCTTGGGTGGGAAGGGGCTCCCTGGTCTCAAACTGCAGGGTGGGGGTGGTGCAAGAAAAGGGACACTCTTGACCCCAGGGCAACCTTTGCTCAGGATTAGGCCTTTGTAGCCCAGATCCAACCAGGTGCCTGCTTCACCTCTTTCATTCCCCTGGCCTGGGGATCAACTGGCCGTATGCATTGGGGGGGGGCAGTCAGGGGGCGATCCGCGTTGCCTGGGGGCCTTTGGAGCTGGCAGGGTGCTGGGTCCATCTGCATGAGAGCGGCATCTGCAAAAGGCAGGATTGTGCCCACGCCCGAAGGGGAATCCCAGCAGCGCCAGTCGCCGGCATAGCTGAAGGGGGAAGCAGGGAAGGGTCACACCCTGACCCACTCCCTGGGGTCCAGGCAGGCACCGCACGCCAGCCGCTGCTGCTTGCGCCAGGGAGTGGTTCCAGCGGGTGGCTTTCAAATCCGGGAACCAGGACAGGGCAGGCGGTGCGTGTGCACGTGCGGGTTCCCCTTCTTTCCCACCGGAGGTGGGTCGCTGTCCCCACAGAGGGCAAAGTTGGCAGTCGCTGGCCTCTTCCTCCGGGAAAGCAAGCCAGCATCCGTGTCCCCAGGCTCAGCCCAGAGACGGACAGGACAGGCGGCCTCCCCCCCCAACCCAGATGAAGGGGGAGAACAGGGAATCGTGCCAGCATCGGTGAGCCGCTCTGCCCTGGAGGACGGCAGCCCTCCCCCCCCAAGCAGCACCACTGGTTCGACCTTGCTCTCCCCCCCTTCATCTCCCTTTTCCCATGA